GACGACTGTTAACTTATCGCGTCTCTTCCTCATCACTGTTTGTTATGAAAAGTGCAAAATGAACAGTTAAGTATTTTCTGTATAAAGTGTATAGTCAATTTTATGCACTAACCATCTTGATTAGATTTTATATAGTTTTTATGAAACTAGTCTTGTGTAGTATGAATTTATCTCACTCTGAAGAAAGAAAATTCCCCCTGACAAGTCCCTCCCAAACAAGACGAAACGTTATTCCAGGATTCCATTGTTATCCACGAAGCAAAGTACAATATAATGAATATTCGGGTAGTATCTAGGCGCCTATCCACATAGGAGCCCATTTACCAACAGTGATTGATCGATTCGATTTAGTATAACAACGGAGAAGTATCGAACAACAAAATTCTCTCTAATTTGTGAAAAAAACTGGATTTGGTTATTGAAGAACAGATGGAGATTTTCTCCTCGATAACACATTTTCACGGCTATACAGCCGTAAATATATCAGCAAAATGATAAGATACTCCAGAAAAGTTTCCGATCAAAGGTCAAACTTAATCGGTAAATGTATAGGGGGAATGAAATGGTACTACTGCCACACAAGGCGCTTGCGAAAATTATTCAGCTTGATTGCTGAAAGACAAGCACAAAATCGTCTCCAGCTCGATCATTAAATACTTCCTATAGTCTAGGCACCCGGCCCTTCTAAAACTTTGTTCGAAGTTCCCTACAAATTTGGATCAGAGAGTTCAAAAGGCGTGAGAATTGGACACATGTACACCCAGAGCTCTGCGAATTCATAGCTACAAGTCTAAATTATGCATGGCTTTAAACCGAAATTTGCATTTCGGTTTACATTTTGATATCATTTTTTGTGTTGCATAATATCCCTTCATTCCCTCTCTACATATGTTGATTATCGACTATTGGCTGGAAAATCTCTGGAACATCCTGTTATTTTACTTATGTATTTACTAGTGTACAATTGTGAAAGTGAGTCGTCGAAGAAAAGTTTTTTTTTCCGAATCATCTCTACTTTTCTTTATGAAAAGACAAAAGGGATGGTTTCGGGAAAAAATTTTTCGATGAGGTTATTCAATAAGCTATACATTCGTGAATATATTTTGCAGTGGGTAGAACATTCCAGAATTATTTCCAATCAGGGGTCAAAATATAGTCAATAAGAAGAGGAAGTTACGTAATATAAATAAGGATTTTAGAGTAGGAAAACAAATGAGAGATTATGAAAATAAAATGTGATAACGTAATATAAGACTAAACTATGACAGTCAACACGTTATGATGGTGATGAAAAAGACAAAAGTTGAACGTACCATTTTTAGACAGCACTGGTTTGAACTTCTTAGTGTATACTCAAATGAAATTTGAGGGAGTTGTGGGGATTTGGAAATATTTCAAGTTATTATTCATCGTAGACTAACAATGTTAACGTGCTGGCCATGGAACCTGAAGGTCTCAGGTTCGATCCCTGGCGGGGTCGTGGGTTTGCATTGCTGAGGAGTCCCATACTAGGACGAAACAGCTATCCAGTGCTTCTAGGTTTCCTTTGTTCCTCCAACTAATGCCAGTCTATGATGAATAACAACCTGAAATGTACTCAAATGCTTTGATCTCACCCTCTTCAAATCGCTTGATCAAACCCTGTAAAGAATCTTGAATGAGTTCACTAAAGGAGCTGAGTGGTTTGGATTCACAAGGTGTTCTGTTATTGAGCTGAAGATGTATTTCCATTCTCCCTTTGATAGCCAAATTGGATAGTGTTGCCGAGAGCATTTTACAAGCGGGGATATAGAACAATCGATGTACTCATCTCCACAGGGCCAAGTAAACTGATATACACACACTGATGTGGCTAAATGTGTTGGCTTTCGTTTTATATACTGATAACTTCAAAAGAAATGATTAAAAGGCTGGCGGTCAAGCATATCCTACTTAAAGATATTGATAGTCGTTTTTGAAAATATCTGCAGCAGTATCATTTCTGAATTCAAAATTCAACGAAAAAAATCTTTTCCGGTGCTATATAAGTTCTTTGATTTGTGTTTTTTTGCTTTAAGTTCTTATCTGTGAATGTAGGAGGAAACCGTTTCCTACTGGAGTTCATCAAAGATTTAACAGTTCTCTGTCAACAGTATTTTCTATATCTATTCCCCTAATCCTCAAGGAAAGTGGATGGATAAGATTTTTTTTTCCTATTTAGAGGGGAAATGAATAAATTGCCCATTTCACATAGGTTTTCTCTAAATCGATCTACGAAGTGAATTATCATCTTTTCTTTAGAGTTAAACATCAGGAAATTGGAGCGTTGAGTTTGATTCTGATTCTAGAGTGAATCTGGCTGAGTTGTGGGCTTAATGAGCATCTTTAATCATTATCGTATCCCCTAAATGCTCTTATAATAGGACTCTTCAGTGGATCACAGAAATTCAACGTACTTTAGAGGGCTTGTATGTGTGTACATGACTTAGAGAGATGATATTGTTCAGGCGCTGATTCTCAGATTTCACCTCAGATGCCATGAACGTCTATTACATCAATAAAGAGGTAGTCGACCAGCTATCTAACTGTTGTATCAACTAGGTTTCGTTTGGAAACCAGCTGAAAAATAATTCATTTGTGAGAAAAGTCATCGAGGACCGTACAGTTAGTAAATAACTTCCTATCTAAGATGTATTGATCCATACAAATCAGCCAGCCAGATTCAGATGATCTGAACCATTTTAACTCTGCAAGCTGAATTTATACCGGTACACCGCTGACTGTTTTGGCCCTAAATGAGTGAGACGTTCATCCGATGTTTAGATCTCTTTCATCTCGGAAGTCAATTCTACAAATCACCCTAAATGATTTCTAACTACTCACCTTGGTCAGTGGTATATTTTGTTAGAAATTTAAAATTCACTTCTAAATCATCTAGATTATTATTTATCCCTTGGGTTCTTATGGAACATAGGGCCCAGAAGCTCTCATTTCTTCCTCACATGATCTCCTCCATGTCACCCTCGGCTGGGACGCCCAACTCGTAGCTTCCTATCTTGGTTCCATTCGAGTTCCTGGCACGTGATGTCCCCAATCGGCCTTCTCAGTGTATGCTCAATTCATCTCCACTTCCTTCAACCACATATCTGTTGAGCGATAGGTTCTTGGTTGGTTCCCCACCGACCAGAGTTCCTTGTTGCATATTCTTTGTGGCCATCTGATCTTCAGTAACTAGCCAGCGTAGGTGGCAGTTGTTGATGAATGTTTGTAGTTTGTTGGAAATCCATTTCATAACGTGCCAAGTCTCTGAGCCATACAAAAGCACTGACTTGACTGGATTGGTGTTGAAAGTCCGGATGTTGTTCCACATGCTGAGTGCAGTGGAGTAGATCTCCACACTGGCTTCAGGCTGATGAACGCCTGTCTTGCTTTTCCGATCCTGACTGGCTTTGACATGCTCATTTGTGCCTGTGCCACCTGTATTTGAAACAGTGCTGCCTAGGAAGGTGGGTGAAGGAGGTTACTTCCTTCAGGTTTCTCCCGTTGATGGTGATTGGAGTTTGTTGTTGTTGTTGGAGTTGTTGGTGCGGTATCTTTATCACCTCTACCTCTGTCTGCTCTACGTTCACTTGAAGTCCCGTCTTCGTTGCCCTGCCTCACCTCTTCTGTCAACTTGTTAGTTTTCGCCAGCAGATCCTCAAGTTTGTGTGACATCAGACACAAGTCATCGGCGAAATCCAAATCTTCTAGGTTTTTTTCCGCAGTCCAGTGTATCCCTCTCTTCTCGCTCCTCGCGTTCTGTCGCATGATCCAGTCCAGTTCACCACAATCAGGAATATCATGGATGATAGTAAGCGGCAGCCTTGCTTTACTCCTGTCTTCACTTCAAAATCATCACTGAGCTTCCCATTGTGAATTACTTGGCTGGCATATGGTGTCTTCATATAGTTGTTGAATGAGATTGATAAAGGTTTGTGGCGCTAAAACCTTAGTGTTGAGTCAACTGCAAAATTACCTCTCGGTCGACGGTGTCAAAGGCCTTCTCAAAGTCGATGAAGTTGAGGTTGAGTTGAATTGACTGCCATTCTATACTGTGTTCTACGATGATGCATAGCGTAGCGTTGCAATTTGGTCTGCACATGATTTGTTCTTCCTGAAGCCAACCAGTCTGTTCCGGTCGTAGTTTTGAATCTAGCGCATCCCTCAGCCTCTCCAGGATGATGCGGCTTAATATTTTGCTTGCTGTGGGTGGACAGGAGCCTGATTCCGTGCCAGTTCTTGCAAAGACTTCGATCACCCTCCTTTGGGAGTCAACTTGAACCTTAGGCTACGAAAAAGTTTTTTACCTATCGAAACTAACCATTTTTTTTCATCCTCTTCTAATATGTGGGTTATCGAACCTTATTTTGAACTCGTTAGAGTTTACTAGTCTGAAATGGTCTGAACGGTTCGTAATAGGACATAATATGGATGCTAAGTACTTCGTTAATTCATATGTTTGGATATTTCTGAAGTCAGCTATGCGTCTAATGGGAAAACGTGGCATATGAACTTTAATAGTCCCATAAATTCTACTAAGATTGCAATTTTTAGGCACTAAACTATGATTAAATTAAACCATTTAGATTCATCTAGAGATGGATATAGACAGCGTATCAGATAGACTGCAGATTTCTTAATTTTATTCATGACCGTTTCTAAAGGTTTCTTGATCTCTCTCTTCATATGGTCTAAATACGAAAAATTTTCCATTAAATACATATTGCAACAATTTGTTACCTTTCAAACTTGTTCTAATCTTTGAAATATACCTTCTAAATGTAGCATATACTCTTGGACATGAAAAGGTTAGACCTCTGCCAGATTCAAACCAGAGACCACCAGCTTTCCGGCCATATGCTCTACTAACTCAGCTGCGAGGTCCGGATTTTTATTTCACTTCAATCACAAAGGCTTTTACCCGACCACTATGTGAATTTTATGACGTGTCACTTCCACTTGATCGTATCCACGCTGGTTGCCTGGCCACGACTTCTCATCTCAAACCAAATCTAACTCAGTTAGAGAGGGGGCATCATATTGCTTGTCATTTTGACTATCTGAGATAGCTGTGGTTTGGCAGACTACAGCATCGGGCAGGAAACCTGATGGTCGCTGGTTCGAATCCCGCCGTGGTTCAAATTTTCAATTCACCTTTATTAATCACTAGTCTGGACAAACCACGGCTATCTCGGATGGTCAAAATGATAATCACTATTATTAAATAATAATTTAATTCGCCTAGTGGTGGCTAGTGATGGAATCCAGGAAGAACGTTTCATCTTGTTTGGCACCCAGTTGTTAGATTTATGTACCTACACCCCAAAAAAAGGAAATAATCAGACAATGTTGATACAGCCTCATAGCAGCACATATACCAACAGAGGTCAACCAGTTCGATACAGAATAATAATAATAACATTTGAGTTTTGTGCGTTCTGAAAGGTTTTTGTCTTCATTGATCAGGAGGGATATCGTTTCCTTGGCCAATTGAGGTTCGATGGATGTGTATAGTGCTTTAACATCGAAGGATATCATTAATTCATCGTTTTCTATGTTAATATTTTTGATCTTTTCTAAGGATTCTGTTGGTGACTTGATGGAATGTCCGCATGACTGAATGAGGTGTTTCAGTTTTCTCGAAAGTTCTCTTGATATGTTGTATGTTGGGGTTCCCAGAAGTGAGACTATTGGTCGTAGAGGGATATCGGGTTTGTGTAGTTTTGGTCTGCCGTAGAATCGAGTCCATTCGATTTCATACGCCATTTGTCTTGCTTTGTTATTTCTTCTGCTTTGAAGAGTTTGTTCAGGGTTTTATTGATCTGGTTGTCGAACTTTTGGATAGGGTTGGTTTCAAGTGGTTGATACACATTTTTGTCTTTGAGCAATTCCTCTGCCTTCTTGATATAGTCTTCTTTGTCCATGACTACTGTAGTGCATACTTTGTCTGGTTGAAGTATAACGATATCTTTCCTATTTTTCAGTCTTTTTATTGTTTTCTGTTCTTGAGTGTTCATTTGAGTATGATGTCTCCTCTGCCTGGTTAGTGGCACGATTGTTTGTCGTATTTCTTGCTGAGTGACCTCATTTAATCCTGATGTTTTAAGTGAGGATTCTAATGCCGCAAAGAATTCTGGTTTCGAGGCATCTCTTGCGTTGAAATTCAATCCTTTTTGAACTCAAATGTTCAAGTCTGATGGGACTCATCGACCTTTGTATGACAACATACTTTCAATTCAACGACAAGATATACAAACAGATGAAAGGAACTCCAATGGGATCACCGATATCCGAATTAATAGCAGAAGCAGTGGTGCAGAGACTGGAAGCCATTATTCTACCTGTGATCAAACCAAAAATTTGGATTCGTTACGTAGACGACACTTTTGTCATCATTAAAAAGGATGATATAGAAAACACTCACAGTTTGATCAACAACTTTTTCAATGACATCAAATTCACAATGGAGAAAGAGTTAAACAACCAACTACCATTCCTGGATGTTTTAGTCAGTAGGACAAATGCCGGAAAGCTGGAAACCCAGGTGTACAGGAAGCCAACACACACTGATCAAATCCTCAACTACAGTAGCAACAACCTAACAACTCACAAAAATAGTTTCATGCAGACTCTATTCAAAAGAGCGAGAACACACTGCAGCACAACAACTTCACAGAGAAACGAAGAAAATTGCCTGATGTCCATCCTAAAGAAGAACGGCTACCCACGAAACTTTATCAGAAGATGCCTATCCCATGCATCACCAACTACAAAGTCATCGACAGAAATCAACAAACGCATCATCCTACCATACATAAAGAATATATCAGAATCACGACAGGATTACTGAGACCACGTGGAATTGGTGTGGCTCGCAAACCAACGAATTCCCTCCAAACACTATTGTGCAGACCAAAAGGATGCACAACCAAAGAAGACAAACCGAATATCATTTACAAAATCAACTGCAATAACTGTAGTCAGCACTACATTGGACAAAGCGGCTGCCCTCTTCAACCTTTGTCTACATGAGCACCAATTGGCTATTAAACGCCACGACATTTCATCACTCATTTCAATGAACGTGGATAACAACTATGGACACGAATTCAATTTCTACAATGTAGAAATTTTGGACAGAGGAAACACAAAAATATCAGAGAATTTCTAGAAGCTTGGCATTCAGGTCAGTCAGCAATCAATAGATGTATAGACATAGATGCGATCTATCAACCAATACGAAAAGTGATAAACGACAGAAAGGTCAGAGGTCCAGCAGAGGAACAGCCAACAGGAAAGTCTATACAATCAATGACACAACAATCGAAGGAACAACCAGTCAGAGACCACATCGTCAGAGCAAGCTACTAAATCACTCACGGAGAGATATTGACAGCTCACTTCATACTGAAGTTAGTGCTGATGATGTCGTCCAGAAAGACAATGAAAGCTTCACGACTAAACAACCCAGCTCAGAGAACACACATACAACCAAGAAATAACACTATTTAATACTAGTTATTTCCAGTTGGTGATTCTACTGGATGAAGTTAATCAGTCTCTGTTTGCATACGGACTCCTACACAGGTGCAGAGATACTGCTTAAAGGTGGATTATGATGTTATTTGCTTGTTGGTTGCTGGTAATTCTATCCAGCTTTTAGCCAGACGTATTTGCATCTCAATAACGACTAATACACATTGAACAAGAAGTGGTTCTCAGGACTCAGTATTCGAATGGATACTGTCCTATATTTAGAACGATGGCTAATAGGCTTGAGTCCAAGCGGAAGCACCATCACTTACCGGGACGTAGATACATCCAACTGACGGGTCCGAAATGATAAAAAATACGCGTCCTGTATTCCCCTACTACCTACCACTAAACAAATTCGTTCTAAGTATATATTTTCATAAAAAAATGAAATAATCACATGAAATTGGAATTACTATCAAGTAAATTCTGAATTGTCTACAGTTATTCCAGTCTATACCAACTGGGAGGGGGAGGGGAGGGTATCGATACTTATGACAACATTTTACGTAGTTTTATAAACATTTTCCTAGTGTTTACTCGTCATTGTACATAGCTAATTTCAGGTGGCCTATCCAATTACGTTTATTATAATATTCAGTAACTTGGTTATTAAATGTTTTTATCAGTGATAATTTAATTACCATCTTTTATCGATCGATTAAAGTGTATTAAACATCCTATAGTGGTGGACTAGGGTTTATATGGCGGAATGATGATTGAAACTGCAAAAACATGTGACTCGTAGAGTGTTTGGTATTATGAGCTTCTTTCTGTATTACCGACTCATAAAATCTTTCTCTTTCTTTGTGAAGTTGATGGATCGAATCCTTCTGTTGCCTAAATATTCTCACACCTGTATTCATCATTCCCCCTAGAAACAGATCCGACTAGTAGCGAAGTCAACAAACAGAATTTAAGTTGGTGGTTTATAAGAATTTACTTATTGATTTCAGGTTGGTAATTATCATGAACTGACATCCGTTGCAGGAACATTAGAAACCTGGGAGTACTAGACAGCTGTTTTTTCCTAGTATGGAACTCCTCGGCAGTACGTACTCGTGACTCCACCCTACCAGGGATCAAACCCAGGACCCTTAAGTTTACAGTGAGTTTGTTACCCTTCAGCCACTGGTGAGAATTCAGTTGCCTACATTTTCCTACTTCTGTCAGTTCATGATATAATGCGACCATCACCCAATACCATCGCTGAGTTACTTTCTCATCTCCGACTTGGTTTGCCTCCTAGGTCACAGCTTCTCCTCAAGACTTTGGGAAGTCTTATCTCTAAGAATGTGACTAGTAACCACTCAACAGTAGTTCATTTTGATGGTTTGTGAAGTTATCAAAAAACGAAGCAGACTTCACGACTATATTGGTCAGTTAACAGTAAGTAACACCATTAAGATCATCCATTTCAGCTACTTAACATTCTTCATTTACTTTAAACTGATCAAGTCTGACCGGTAATAGGACACTATTCACTGTGATTAATGACCAATCATATATTTCACTCAGTAACTGTATTTTATAACCATTAACAACGCATAATAAGACAGTTTCCATATAACACTTATGTGATATTATTCAATGTAGTAGGTATATTTGTATATAATTTCACAGAATATTCTTGATAACCTTTTATCAGATGTTATTGACAAATTGCTTTTTTTTATCATACATATTAAAATTTTCAATGTACCAAAGTGTACAACATCTATGCTTCACAGAGCTCATTTGTCCATGATAGGTTTCTGTGACAGAGGTAAAACTGTATGTGACGACATTATTACTATTATTATAACTAGTACTGCCATTATTAAGATTATTCCTGTTATTATTATTATTAGTTCAGTAAGTGGATCGACTTGTCGATAACCATTACTAAGTCTAATATTTATTGATTAGTGAAAATTTACGCAATAATAATGGATAAAGACAATCTCTCTAAGTTCACCTGTTATCTAGAGACTAGTTAGTCTGATGACAGGTTATTGTTAATGAAAGTAAGTGAGATGACAAGGTGAGGTTGCTGATGATCTCAGTGATACTAAGATCTGATCAATAGCTATATCCCACAGCTAAGCTGGTAGAACAGGCAAGTGGAAGTCGGCAGGTAGGTAGGTGGGTGTGTAGATATTTAGGCAGGTAGGTAGGTACGTAATCTGAAGACCGTCGGTCTGATTTTTTACTGTAACAGAGGTTTTCATTTCACTGCTTATCAATTACAGGTCGATTTAAGGCACTTTTTATAAAGTTACTTTCTTGATAATGAAATAATATCTTTTCAGTAATTTTCTCATCTTATTATTGTAAAGTGAAACAACGAGACTGAACGATCTATCACCAGAGATAATGAGCACATAAGTTAACAATCAATCAACCAACAGGTTTATTGTTTAGAATACAGAAATCAGATTGTCTTCAGCTATTTACCACTACAATTTAGGAGGTGTTTTGTGATGACTGAAATTTATAAGATGATCAAGAAAGAGTAGTAACTCGTCGGCTTATCTTGAAGGTCATTGGCAACAAACCTACGGGATTCAATTTTGGCGGTTTCTGCGGATTTATTGATTTTAGGTTGGTATTCATCATGGACTGACATCAGTCGGAGGAATACTGGAAATCTGGGAGCACTGAACATCTGTTTCATCCTAGTACAGGACTCAGCCGTGCGCACCCATGACTCCACCAGGGATAGAACCGAGCGGCTCAACGGTAGCTTGCTGGTAGCAGAACTCGAAGGTCCCCGGCCCGATCCCTGAGGGGCGTGGTCATAGAGGCGCATTAGGACGAAACAGCTATTCAGTGCTCCCAAGTTTTCACTGTTTCTCCAGCTGATGTCAGTCCACAACGAATACCAACTTCAAGTCTATGGGAGTAGTGTAAACTCTAACAGATCCCATGGTCAGTTCAAAGTACTCAAATGCCACCGTCATGCCAAGTTGATAAGATAGTAGATGTTCTGAACACTTAAAACATGCATCGGTGTTTTTCACTTGTCAGATACCTGATGATTTTGTTCACTTGGACTGTAGTGATGCTATTTTGAGGACGTGAAGTGACTGAGTATACCAACAACTTGGTTAAGCGTAATAGCTTAGTCACTGACAAAGTCTCTATGGAGAAGCAAAAGATTTGTTTTTTTATATGCTAAGCTATCTTTAATAGTGATATACTACTCGACTGGTTAAAAACAAAGAAGAGTTGAGTATTTCTTAGCTTTCTAATATTTTCTATTCTCATTTAATGTACAAGATATATGAGAATAGTATTTAAATGCTTTTAA